ACAAGAATCACATTTTAAAAATACTACCATGTAGTAAGTCCTTTTGTATTCATATACACATGTATGTCCTTAATGTGGCCTAGCGCAGTCATGGCTACTGGGATCACAAGAAAAGTGAACCAAGGTTAGACCTCTCTCTCTCTCTACTCTCCAAATATATACAATTATAAAAAGATAGCAAGAGCTCTCATTTTTGAAACCATCCTTCTCAAGACTCAGTCCTACAAGCTTAATCTGTTTCTGATAAACATTCAAGCTTGGTTGATTTCTAACTTTTGCAGGGCTCCAGTGCAGACTCTGCGGTTTTAGATGTAATTTGATGCAGTGTCATACACAAGAATGAAGGAGCAGGAAGCATTAAATCCCTCTCATTGTTTATTTAGGTCCTTAACAGAGCAGTCCTAGATTTCTTTGTGCATCTCTGAGTCACCTGCAGAATGTTACATATTTGTGAATTTTGACCCCTTGCTCTGATAAAATTTTCCTGGCTGTAGCTCTCAGGAATCTGTATTTCGAAAAATACAATAAAATAATATTTAGACGTTGCTGCAAGTTAAGAATGATCACACCCAAAAAATTTGACTGATTACATGTACAGCATGATTAGATAGGCCAATAACCCTGGATAAAAAATAACGTCACTGGGCCTGGCACAGGTAAAGTCCTCACCTTGCACGCACCAAGATCCCATATGGACATCAGGTTCTAATCCTGGTGACCCTGCTTCCCATCCATCTCCCTGCTTGTGGCCTGGGAAAGCAGTCAGAGACAGTCCAAAGTCTTGGGACCCTGCACCCACTGGAAGACCCAGAAGAAGCTTCTGGTGTCTGGCTTCAGATTGGCTCAGCTCTGGCCATTGCGACCACTTGGGGAGTGAATCATGATGGAAGATATTCCCCTATATCTCTCCTCCTCTCTGTACCTCTGACTTTCAATAAAAAATAAATAAATCTTTAATTTAAAAAATAACATTACTAATGGAAATGATGACAGTGTACTCTGTTTGATGTAAAGGCAGATATTTTCTTAATATTTGAATTTACATGCTGTGGAGAAGCCATCGTAAGCATCAAAAAATCTTATCTTAGATATGAAGTATCTTATACAGGTATCTCAAACGTTTATGTTTGGGTAAGCGTGACTTCCCCCGATGTAATATTTCATATAAAGTAGTCACAGGTGACTCTTCACTTTACTGTTAATTTGCAAGTTTGCTGATACAATACCGTCACCTATGTTACCTTTATGAGAAGGGTGTGTGTGTAGAACCATTAAGTGGCCTGCGATTGAGTTTAGTGAACCATGTATCATATTTAATTTGACACAGGATATTTTGTGCATAATGACCCTCTTGAACTTATAACAATGTACTTCCTCCATGAAAACATAATCACCAAAATAAGAGAAAACACTGGCAATGTTGGAAAGCCACTGAAGTGACAGGCATGAATACAAAAAGGAAAGAGTGCACCCAGAGAAGCCACGTGCAGGAGAAAGGTGAGCGGTTACACTCACTGTTTGAAAAAGCTGAGATATTTTAGGAGCAGGGCAGAATACTATAAATATTTTTTTCAGCTTTGATCCATAAAAAAAATATGGACAGTTTGAGAAGAGAGGGTTCCTAACACAGGAGCAAGCAAGGCAAGCAACCTTGGAGGGCCATGAAAGCTGAAGTATTTGTCAATTCTGCATGTTCCTTTCTCATGGCCAGCAAGATTAACTTAACAATACTTGGGGAAAAGCACTATCTGAAATTTAAGTTATTTCTGATTTTTTTTCTTGCAATTTAAAGACACATAGTTATTTTAGAATAAATTGGTTCTCTATCAGCAAGAGTAGCATCACCTGGGATCTTGTTATATGAAAACTCCAAGGCTCTTCCCAGATCAACGGAATCAAACATTGTGAGAAATTCCCACCAGTCTCAAATTTAAAAAAAAAAAATCATTTATATTTTGCTTTGTTCTAAGAATCTCTCAGATCCCAAAGAAATAAATCCACAGAAGTAAAGAGGACGCCAAGGAAAAGGAAAGTTGAAAAATGGAAGGGAAGGAGCCAAAATAATTGAAAGAGCCTTCTGCCAGGAAACAAACAAGGAGTGACAGTGGCCATGAGACTCCGAGGGGGCACTTCAAGCTAAGTGTGAGTCTAGGAAATACTGGCACCTGCTGGTTTGTTTCATCATTGTTATCATCATCCACTGTACAATAAACTCTGGATACCAGGTTTGCATGGATCATTTAACTTGATTCCTACAACAAATGTAGGAGGATTTGAAATTTAATTTTATATCTACTCTATGTATGAGAAAAATGAGACAGAAGTTCAGTGGTTTATCCACAAGTTTGTTCAGACAGTCAGGAAGAAAACTGAGATTTTAACCTAGGCTACAATGTTTGCTTAATAGCTAGTTAAGCTGTATTTGTAGAAACCAGTGGACAGACAATTTAAAAAATCCCAAAGTTCGTTGGATCTCCACAAAAGGTGCTGTGGGGTTGGAGAAGGAGGGATAACGGAAGCAGAAATGCAAGTGTGAGAAAAGCAGGTACAATGGAAATGTGAGGTGGAAACCAGCAAGAGTGATGAGAAGGCATGGAGCCCCTGACAACTGCAACACTGAATGTCTTAATGGAAAGAGCTTGAGCCAGTGGCTGCCAGATAGCAAATACCAACAGATATGCAGTTGTCTAAAATATCCCCCTTGAACACTCAAGGTCACTGAAGAGACACTCCTTTCTTCACTTTCCTTGGAAGTTCAGATGGCTTTCTAGTTTTCTCTTTCAGAGAAAAGTAGATAAGAAAGTACAACATCTTAAATCACATACATTTGGTTTTAAAACCATGTTCTAAACCATAGGAGCCTTGGAAAAGTTCCTCATTGTCCCTGAGCTTTAAATTTTGCATGCATGCATACACACATACTTGTACATATGTATAGTTAACCTACTTAACAGTAATAGCATTAAAGGAGACAACAAATAAATATCACTTGACCCCATAAATTAAATTTGAGTTCATTTGTATTACCAAGGCATGAAGGTGCATAAATAATAATCTAATCTAGCTTTGGCTCTAATTTGCTTGGAGTGGTCATGCATGTATCTTAAAAGTACACAAAAGAATAAGAAAACATGAAAGAGTTGTGGATATTTGGTGCTAAGAGATCAGAATCAATATATGTTGCTAAACTAGTCCTTAATTTAGCATCAAATGCACCCCATTCAGAATTAATTCCATATGTGTGTTTTGACCATGCATGTGACTAAGCATGTAATTTAATCTGTCTCTTCACACAAAAATCAAGGAATGTAATCATCAGATTGTCTAATTTTATTTAGTTTAAGATAATGTAAAATTTCCAGTGTGGTTTTGTGGACTTTATTAATAACATTAAAATTATAAGGTTATTTAAGCTGTGTGGAAATATGAATATACTATCAAACAGAAATTATTTTCAAGCATAATATATCATTTAAAAACACATTAGTAAAATCTGTTACGTCAAAATTTAAGCAGAAATACCATGAGATGAATTCATTAACTGTCATTAGACAAAGTAAGTTATAAGCAGCCTTGAACAATGTATCTCCCCTCCACTTGTCATTGAATCAGGAATAAGGTCTCCTTTGGTTTTGCAATGTGTGTGTTTGTGTCTGTCTGCTTGTGCTTGTGTTTTTCAGGGAGTTTTTAAAGTAATCCATTAATATATGTACATATCTATTTATATTGATACATTTATATGAACTGTGTGCAATCTGAAATGTACAAATCTCCATTTGTAGAGCTCACCATAAAGAAAGCATGCTGGGCTTTGACTGGGATCAGAACTTTCCAGTTCAGGGCACCTGCCTTTTACAATTAATAAAATGAAGCTTCCAGCCATTGCAAATAGACTTCGATAGAGGTCACATAACTAAACCACCCTTCCAGTAGGCAGTCTCTGATGTATTTTATTCCATTTTCAATCTATTAATCAGAGGAGTTGGGAGAGCAATAATTTAAATGCTGCAATAATCAATTCCATAATGCATTAATAGAAGCTACAGTCAAACTTTGCCATACCACTGACTGCATTGGAATCCTGATAGGAGCCCTAGGGCCATGTCTAATTTGCATTAAATTTACATAAAATTGTAAATCAAGAATACATGAGCACAGACCCAATATTTGTTCTTACTTAGATCTTTCCTGATAGATGGATTGAAGCTGTTGGTGGTTTAACTTCACTTGCAATAAAATCGTGCAGTTGCTCAGTTTTGCTTTCATTCTGCAATTATGGAGAAAAGGACCCAAGAGAGTTTCTGTTTGAGGGCATGTGCATGCCATTAGGGTTTTGATCCTATAAAACCATGACTCAGATATGCCTTTGGAAATTTCTTTTTAGAAGTAAATTGTCCCCAGTGACTTTGCAGATCCTTGTCAATAGATTTGCTCACAAATAATTTGTCATTAGCTAGAGACACAAACCAAATAGAAAGCTGGACAGCTGAGAAGATAAAAGGGCCTTTGGGAATTTTTATTTTTCCAAAAGACTTTTGTTATCGCACATGCACACACAGAAACTAGACAATTAGTGGTAATCTTCAGAGCAAGGACATATAAAATAAAGTTTTCTTACATTCAGCAGAGTATCTAATACCTCACCGAGTGGTGGAGTAAATTTTATATGGTTCTAATTATTCTGCGTATTCTTGCTAAAATTTTCCTTTATTCCAACCACTCTGGTATTTACTGTATGTTATTTTATTTATTTCAAGTCAGGTGTAGGTAAAGTGCTCCCACCAGGGTTATTCACTCAGAGTGGGAAAATTACCTCCTGCTCTTCTTACTCTCATTTTATACCTATCTTTCAGAAAGAAAGCTGATACTTAAATACAATAATATATTGGAAAGGTATTTTCTTTTTCCAGAAAAAAAGACTTTACAAATATTTTGTTTGTTAGCATTATTGTTGGTTCCCACCTCTCACTTACCACTCAATTATCCTACATGTTTCTTACCTTGCACAATCAAGTAAACTTGGGAGGTCTTGGGCTCATGCTGTGTCTGTACGGAGCAAGTATAGGAACCCTCATCATAGACATCCACCTTCTGGATTCGGAGGCTGTATTCCAGAGAATGGCGCTTCTCCAGCTCAACCCGGGGATCCAGAGACCACTTGTCATGTCCAGCGAAAATGATGCCAGAGCGGTTCAACCAGGCCACCTTTGAGTTCTTGTCTTCTACAACACACCTGCCAGATCAGAGTAACGATGTTAGCACCTTACCCACAGCTGTATCTGCTTCCCTTCTTCCATGATTAGAGTCAACAAGATAAATCAAGCAAAATATACAGAGAATGAATTATTGTCCTACTAAATATTTGAGTTTTAACTATTTTTAAAAATTTCTTTAAAATAGAAATTAATACCCAAAAGATGAATATCATTGACTGTAGTAGACTCAATTCAGACATAAACGATTGGAGGATGAGTGATACAGGCAAATAAAATTAAGTTGAACACTGACTTTCCCCTGGATTGTCATCTTATTTAGGTATAGGTCACTGGCACAGATGGGACTGGGAAAATTAGAAATCTGATGTGGCACACTCTATCCTGTCTTGAGTACTGTCTACATTCTTGTGTGATGGTAGAGTCAGGTTACACTCCACGGCTACAGGAATTACACTAGATTACATGTTTGCTGCTAAATTTTCCCAGTTTCAATTGTAATATGTGCAATTTCAAGCATAAATGCAGAGGTGTTGTGTCAAGAAAAAGCAAACATCATCTGGCCTAAGTTTGTTTTCAGCTGCTAAGGATATCAAGTTGTCTGGTGGCAAGACAAAGGACTCCTAGAATTGTTGGTCATACTGAATGAGAACAATTCCTCACTGGAGATGAAGGAACAAGTTGGGTAGTTCATAGTCCAAGTAATCTGAAGGATAAATGCTGATATGAATGACTATTTCATTAGAAATTTTAAAGGATCTATTTATATAAAGTATATGAGAAGGTAAAAGAACATGGGTTGGTAGAAACGTGGATGCTACATGATAAATGTTTTTTCTTTTAATTTCAAAAAAATTTGGCAAAGTAAAATTCAAGGGGGGAAATTAAAAAAAAAACTCTCTATATCCCTTTGACAAGATTTATGTCTATCTTAAAGGGAGATTATCCCAGACCCTGCTCCCAGCTGCAGAGCCAGCTGCTCAACCCTGGGGCATGAAGGGATGGACAGTGTGTCGGGAGAATGATGGCACAACAAGAAAACATTATGTTTCCTTATATTTTCTAAATCAAGTCTAACCCAGGCTTTTTCTTGGGTCAAAACTAGGCATATTCCACATGAATGCATAGACAAGAAGTTAGGAATCTAACTCACATCCAACAAGAAAGGGATGTAGAAGCCAATTTCTACCTCTCCCTGGAAGAATAAAGCACGTGAATACTGTAGCATTTGGTAAATGTCATATGAACTAACACACCGGACAGATGATCACTCGTACCCCATGTCTGATCCCTCAAACTCTACAACCTCTCCAGTGTCTCCTCTATGACATAAATCTTCCTTGTAATTGCTACATGAACTGTAAGGTTTTAGAGTAAGAATGTAACCTAGTAATTTAGGTGACAAACTATATGGGTTTTAGTTTCTTCTCATCCTGTTTGTTTTCATAAACATGTTTAGATTCAGGAACATGTCAGTATCTTTATTCCCAGTATATATTTCACTGCCATTGGGATATTACTGGGCATAATTACACAAAAACAATGATTGTGAACTCCTTTTTCAGGAGCACAAAGCTAGCCTCATAGAAACTTGCTGCTTCAGGGCAGACCTTGTTTTATTTCCTATGTAACAGTCTCTTTTTACATTTTTATTTCTTTGTTTTCTTTTTTTTTTTTTTGAAAATCAGAGAGAGTGAGTGAATGAGAGAGATTTCATCAGCTAGTTCATTATTCAAATGTTGGTAGCAACCAAGTCTAGGTTGAGTAGTAGCCAAGAGCCCAAATTCCATGTGGATCTCTTTCGTGGGTAGCTGGGACTCAAGTGCTTAAGTTATCATCTGCTACATTCTATTAGAGGCATTCACAGGAACCTAGATAGGAGGTAGGGCATTTCAACCCATGCGTATGCATGCATCCCAGCCACAGGTGTCCCTGCTGTTACACAGTGCCTGCCTCTCCTGCCCCAGTCTTTGTGACATTAATTTCTCTGTCTTTAGGGTCATTTATAAACTAATTAATAAGCTGTTTATTGTCCAATACCATATCTTTCACGAAGCTGCTGTATACAGATTTCATAAGCCTTGATTAAAACAGGAAAATGAAGAGAAATTTCTAAATTCAACTTTCTTAGTGTTAAACACTGATTCCATAGAATGTTTTTTAAGAAATGTGTGATGCTGCAAATAACCCCCAGATTTAGAAGGAGCTGCATCCTGGAGTCGGTGTTAACATTTCGAGGGAAGGGATGGAGTAAGTATTTCCTCTTTAAATGAGGTTTCTAAGAGGCAGTGAAGGGCATGGGGGCATAATTTAGAGCGTCCCAGCTCTGGGAAACCTCCTCTTTGTACTACACCACCCCATTCACCTGGCTCTCTCCACTGCACTGCACATGGATTAGTAATTATATTCACCTTATCTCAGGAGCTGATTAAAGATGATGACCCTATTGTAATTTACCTGCTGAGTCCTTGCTGATCTTAGTAACACAAAAATCATTCACACCGGGCCTGGCGGGGTAGCCCAGTGGCTAAAGTCCTTGCCTTCAATGCGCTGGTTCTAATTCTGGCAGCTCCACTTCCCATCCAGCTCCCTGCTTGTGGCCTGAGAAAGCAGTTGAGGATGGCCCAAAGCCTTGGGTTCCTGCACCAGCATAAGACACCCGGAAGATGTTCCAGGCTCCTGGCTTCGGATCAGTGCAGCACTGGCCATTGCGGGTACTTGGGGAATGAATCATTGGATGACAGATCTTCCCCTCTGTCTATCTGATTTCACAATAAAAATTAAAAAAAAATCATCCACACAGTAAATTCTCCATGATATGTATATTACTAAACTGACTATTCTTTAATAAAGTTCTCTTGGGATAATTTCCAAATCTTTATTTACTATATAATAAATGAATAACTATTTCAATGTCCTTCAATCAACAGAATTATCTAATATAAAAGGAAGTGTAAACTTTCTTGTACAGTAATAATCCAGTACTTGAATACAGGATTAACATGTAAGTGAAGAAGAGTGGGAAAAAAATGTTCACTGTTTCCACTAGGAAGAATGATGACATCTGAGAAAAAAAATCCTCTGTATTGCATGTGGGAAATCATAGAAAGGATAAAAAGCACTAAAATCAATTTTAACATGTTGCCCAGTTTAAACATGAACCCTCAATTATCAAGTGGCTTATCTACATTAAGTATAACATGATAACTTTTTTAAAATTTTGTTTTAAAAAAATAGAAAAGGTAAGCATGCAAGATTTTTATCTCTTCTGTTCAGTACATCTGAATCCATAAAACTGTCACAAAAAATCAGTGCATTCATAAAAGTCTCAAGCATTGGATCTCCACAAACATTTTATACCGACTACATTATGCATATACACAAAGTTTCATTGACAATTCCATTCAGACTGAAAAACCTGGGGATTATTCTACTAAAATGATGGATATAATTGGAGAAAGTAAAGAAATGCTATCTTCAGTTTGTACTAATAGATTTCCTAATGGCATATTTACTGACAGGATATCCATGAAAAAAGTGATAACATGTCCATTAGATGTTAAGTCTCCTCAATTGATTCAAGACACATCTCTTAATTTTTAAGAAGTACTGCTGGCTGCTAAAAATGTATCAACTTAGCATTCATCAAATGTACCCAAAGTTAGTATTATTTAAATTTCCTCTGTTTCTCAACAGTATAAGCTGGCATTTATTCACTGATCACAAATAAATACATTTTACTCAACTTCACATCCTTTATATATTCCTGCTTTTTGGATTTTAGGGTCTGGAGTCAATGAAATAAGCTGGATACTAAAAGACATTCATTTATTCCTAAAATGATGAAGAAACAGTCAGATGAATGGTCCTTAAGTGAGGGCAAAGTATATCCTTCAGCATTTGGCTGTTTTGGGAGATGCTTTTTGATTGTTGCAAATGGAGAGAGAGTTGCTGGTACTGCCATAAACTGAGTAAGGCCCGGGCCCCAGGGGTGGGGTAGCAATGGGCCGAGGGGAGGTGTAGTTGCTGCTGCTGAAACATTCTTAAATGCACAGGGCATCCCACAACCTAGACTAGACCCTTAAAAATGTTGACCAGACTGAAACTGGAGAATCCTGAGTGAGATCTTGTCTCTTGGTTTAAATATCCAGAAATACAAGGAAAACAGTGGCAGTTCAATGGTGCTTTTCCATGAGCACATGTTTATAGGTTAAGTATTGCCAGCCAAGGTTTTTAACTGAATTCTACAATAAAGAATAAAATGAGGCCTATTGGTGCTCTAGTTGTAAGCTAATAATTAATGAATTATTAATTCATGAATTCATAATGGCTTTATTTTCATATCTAAGTTGTGCAATCACAGGCTGTTTTATCTCACAAGCTATTGATAGTAAATGACGAAAGGATAACTTGCTTGGCTCATAATTTAATGTTAGAGGAATCATTTTAACCTAAACTTTGGGGATATTTTTCCCTAGCTAAAAATGGTCCCTACCTAGGCTAGAGAAGGGGAAATTCAGTTGAGAAGATTCTGATTTATAAGAAATCTATGAGGATTCAGCCATAACGAAACATTTAAAATAAATTTTATTATTTTTAACATTTGTCCTCAATTTCCCCTTTCTGGGGGCCTGGCACTGTGGCATAGTAAGTTAAGCCTCAGCCTGCAGTGAGGTCATCTCATACAGGAATAGTTCAGGTTCCAGCTGTTCCACTTATGATTCAGCTCCTTGGGGAAACATAGGAAGATGGTCCAAGTAGCTGGACCCTTGCATCCATGTGGGAGACCTAGAAGAAGCACCAGGTTCCTGGCTTCAGAGCAGCCCTTCTCTGACTATCAAGAACTTTTGGGAGTTCATCAGAGGATGGAAGATTTCTCTCTGTCCTTCCTCCTCTTTCTGTAAAACCGCCTTTCAATTAAGAATAAATACATCATTTTTAAAAACCCTTTTTTATAAGATATGGAAGGATATAAAAGAGAATGTGAAGGGAATCTTCAAAAATGCATCACTTCTTTATT